CCCACCTTCCTACCAAATTTGGTGTTTCTAGGTGCCATAGGAGCCAATCGCGAGGGGGGGGGTCGCATCGACCCCCCCCCCCCTGCCAGGCCGTGTTATGAAAAATGCCCTGCCAGGGCAAGGGTTAAAATGGTTATCTCAGATTCTCCATAAAATGCGTTTTTCACCACTTAAAATTCAAAAAACTATATTTTTTGGAAAACAACTAATAAAATCCACAATTTTGAGAATTTCCAAAAAACCGGAATATATGTTATAGAGCTCTATTAGAACATTAGATATCCCAAATTTCCACTTTCTATCTTGATTTTTGACCCCCAAGTTGTAAAAAATAGCTCCAACATGCATAGGGCATGGTGACGTCATAAGCATTTTCGTAAATTAGAGGCACTTCTGAACATCGCATGTGAAAACAAATGGCACCACTAGATTGACATGAGGTGTCAAATTGATGCAGCCGAAGGTACTGAAAGTTTGGCGTCGATACGTCAAGCGGTTTGGAAGTTATTGCAGAAAAACGGGAGGGGGGCTATGAATAGCCCCCCCCCCCCCCAGTGGGGCGCGGGTTAAAGCTTTTAACGCTTTACAGTCATCTACAGTCATCCTCCAGCCAAAGGCCAATGACCATCCTCAGCAATCATCAATTAGAAAATTAAGCAATGCCCAAGGGATCTATGATGTTGGAGGTCCTGGTGCTATTGATAAAAAGTGTCCTTTTATTCTTTCGTTTACTGAAAAAGAATTTTCATGTTTACATTTGTATTGTAGCAAAAAGCATATAACCAAATCTCTCGAAGAAATGACTTGACGACAAAATGCAGGAGAAATTTTCAAACGATGAAACAGAAAACCATTGACTCATTTCACGGAGCATATTACACAACTTTTACTCAACAGCTATAGTTTCTTCACAAAAGCTAAGTTGCGCCACAGCCACCGCACCAAACTCCGAAAGAAGGTACCCAACACCTCTACATATATCAAACTACAGTCGCATAAGCTGCACCACACACTGTACAAACACAGCTACACATTTCGCTTCACATTGCATGCTATAGGTTGAAATGCTAGCAGGGCCAATACCTGGCTTTTGCCATGATGCTTAACTAGGATGGCTGTTTTATAGCCCGTGAGCTAAGAATAAACAATGTTCAGGAATGTTCACGGCCCAATTATAACTCTGGCCGAAAACATTTCAGTTTTAATCACGTATTTTTCCTCGTGATCAGGAATTTTCCACTTGCCCAATGCAGACGGCTTACCGCCGACCGACCCGACTAATTAACGGACATCGGCTAGAAAACTTTGAATCTAGTTGTTACGTCTGGTATTGTCTATCGATGTAATAAAAAAGTCATCCTTAAATGACATTTTTTCTCTTCCTTAACCTCCAATTTTTGCATGAGAGGTATCACTGTATCAATCAATTTCTTAACAGTCAATTGCAAACCAAACTGTGAAAAAAAAAACAGGCAAATAAAAGCCTATTGCACCGGATACATCACACGTGGCAGGCAAGCGTCTTTATAGCAGGGGCGGATCCAGAAAATCTCCAAGGGAGGGGCCATTAGAAACCAGGAGGCCCCCCCATAATCCCACCTGTTGGAGGCCCCATCTTCCCACTTGTTGGGCCCCCCCAAAAAAAAAAACTGCGTCTATTGAGCTTATCTAGCTGTTCAGGCAACATCTCAACATCTGTGCAGGCTTGGAGGCCCTCTGTGCAGGTTAGGAGGCCCTGTAAAAGTGGTCATCTCTGCGAGTATAAGAGACCTCCAAGTTATGAAAAGCTTTACCAATCTTCTAACAAAGAAGTCTTCTCAGCTAGTCTTCTAAGAAATAACTAAGTGGGTAGGTTAAAAAAAAAACTCATCGGATTTCGGCCACTTTATTTTCAGGAGGCCCCCTTTTCAGCTTTTTAACTTTTTAACTTTTTATTTTATTTTTGAAAAAAATCGGCCAAGGGGGGGGGGGGTCATGGCCCCCATGGCCCCCCCTTGTATCCGCGCCTGCTTTATAGGCACACGACAAATTAACTCCATAGCGTCTATAGCAAATCCATAGAGGCACACGCCACACGTCATCGCTTGTCTAAGCTTATGATCATGGCAAGGAGACACTAAACCGACATGACTGTCACACGACGGTCAGTCAGACGGCTTCATCATAGATTATTCGTATATGCTTACATTCCGCACATACCTGACACGTCAAACGAGTTAGCTGGATATACAGGCAACCACGTTCTGTTTGCAAACATAAGGCATTGACAGCACTTCACCATTATTACGTCCATACCAGAACCAGAAATATGATTACTTTGCATTCTATCAGCATGCATCCGCAGAGGCCGACTGCAAAGACTAAGACGATTGCGCAACAACCCTTGTTTATTTACCATGGCACTCGCTTGTCTTTCAGTCATGTTAGCGAAGCTGTAACACTGCTCGTTGCATCACTGCCGCCCGAGAGGGAGTCACGGTGACCTGGCGCGGTCCGTTTTACGTGAGATCGGGGTCAGGTGGTGGAGCCGCGGTGACCTCAGTCAGCGGCGGGGTGACCTGGCACACCCCGGCGTGTCACCGTCACCGGAAATCGGACATCACGGCGCGGCCGACGGGAGTGGCGCTGCAGGAAGAAGGGAGACGGGAGCGGCATCGTCACTGCCGTCACCGACCTGACCGATACCTTCCCGTGTGTCAGCGGCGCCGGCGGGCCCGCGGACCGGCCGATAGACGGGTCGGATCACAGGGAGCCGCCGCCAGATCCGGGCGGGGAGGAGGTGAAGCTGGTCCCCGCTGAGTTGGCGTGAGCTTTCAGACTGCATTTCGATACTCCGCGCACAGAAATTACTTAGGCATGGAACACACTGCGGCACAAGTTATACCCGTCCATCTGAGCTAGCAACAGAAGCTTGGCATAATGAGACAAACGTGCTAGATGAGTCATATTAAAGTCATATCACTCAGTTTATATTAGTATCAGCCAACACACTTGGTCTGGTTTTGACATAATTGTGCGGTAAATGAAGATAAGATGTATTTACCGCGTGCCGGCTGATGAAAGCGAATGTCCCACAACTTTTTAGCGTCTTACTCGTAGACTCCCAATAATTTTTTAGGTATAACACTGGCCATAAATTCACATTTAAGTCAATTAAGGCCACTGCATGAACTTTATTTCTGAAATATGTCAATGCCATAGACACTACCTAGACGCCACGCGTGTCACCATAGGCACATTAACGAGCAATGTGAGTGGTTCGAATCTGAGCAAATAACTCAGCGGCTGTCATAGATGAAACTTTGCGACAAGCGAAGAAAACCTGGGATTCCCTGATGTCGCTTCATCGTCTCAAAGAATAATAGTATCGCTTCAAACGATTTGAATCTTAATGAGATCAACTGAGGAAAAGACAAAGTAAAATGTAAACGAAACAGCCTGCAGCTGCAAAAACTTCCTTGGCGCATTAGCCAACATTATGTAATGCAGATTCTATTACCGGAATAAGGGCGATTGAAATCGATACTTCCTGCCACTGTCCTTGCGGCACAGCTACTTTTGAAAGCAGTTTAAATATTATATGCGCAATCATTGCATCAAAAACCAGCAAGCAACTTTTTCATCGGGGTAGAAAATACAAAGATATAGTTAATACATTTTATCGAGCATGATGCAATTTATCATACTCAAAACGGTCACCCTGGACCTTTCCCCACTATAATAAGAAATAACCCGCGAGTTGCTGGGGGGGGGGGGGCGTTAAATGCCCCCACTTTTTTCGCCGGGCCATAGCATAAAAACGGCGCGCCGCAGGCGCGGCAAATTTTGGGTACCTGTAGGGAATTGATTGAAGTTTATTGTGACAAAGTTTCAAAAAAATCGGTCCGAAAAAAATTTGAGATATCGAAGTTTTAGTGACGTCATGATTTCTGAGTTTTCGACCGAAAACGGCATATGTTCAAAAAATCATATAAAATCGCAGAATAGACATACAGACATGCCATAAACGCCATTAGACTGCCAATACCATGAACAATCAAATGGCTATCTTCGATTATTGATTATCGTTCCGCATTTTCCAAATTCTTGAACTGAAACTTGGCAATTTCTCGTGACTACTTGACGACCATGATACATGCATTTCTTAAATTGAACTTTTTGAGCCAAACACGTACACATATGATAAAATGAATGTCACCACCGTGTTCTACGCCCCAAATTACCCATACAACATGTGTCACGGGCTGCGAATATCAGTTTTGATTTTCGGGGATATGTGCCTACCCGGTTGACCTGACCTTGACCCTGACCTATGCTTGACTGACCCCTACATGGAGCTGACACTCTTGTAGGCCTTATATGATGGATTGTGCACCGTTTTGACAGAGTTTATGACGAGAGGCGCCCATTGCGAAGTCCTGAAGTCCATGCTACTGAAAGCCCGATTTCAGGTGTTTGACCTGACCTTGACCCGACTTGTGACCTCAAAATTCAATTTTAAAGTACTCATCTGAAGCGTCTCGTCGCGTTCTTTCGTTTGCCGACTCGTGCGTTTCGCTGCGCCTATTGGTTCTCGAGTTATCGGCTGGGGGCGTTTAACGCCCCCCCCCCCCCAGCAAACGGTGGGTTGGGGTGGCGAAATACCCCAGCAACTGCCGGGATAAGATGCAAAGATGCAAATAAGAAGTACACCAATGACAACATCCACGGTTTTGTCCTGTGCACAGCACGAGTCGGCTGAACGTTTCAGCAGTGTTTGTGCTGCATCTCTCTCGGGGTTCATACTGCGGTGACGGCATATCACTAAAACCCGAACGGTTCTGTCCGCGGGTATCGTGCTGCTCGGTTTATCTGTGGTGGCGTCGGGCGGGCCGCCGCCCTGACCGCAGTAGCGGCGCGGCAGAAGTGGCCGGGGACGACCAGCCACGCCCGGGTCGCAGCCCGAGCCAGTCTCTTGAACCCGGCCTCCCGGGGTTTCATGTCGGAGCTGCTTTCCTGTTTCATGTCGGCGCCACGTGCGCGTGTCGCGTCACGCGTGCAGCCGGAGGTGTGCCCGTTATCTGAGGTCGCTGGGCCGGCGCGCCGCCCGATCGGTGGCCGACGCCTGCTCCGGGGTCGGTGCCGCCAGCAAGCTGCTCTAGTTGGCTCCATTTCGGCAGCGGCGGTGGTCGGCCCGAGCACGCGGGCCGTGGCGGCGGCGTGCTGCCGCGGCCGGAGCCGTACCCCGACGGCTGATCCGGCTCGGCTGCCGCCGCCGTCGGCGGCGGTCGGGGGCGCTGGTCGGCACTGGCAGGAAGCGTGCCTCTCGGCGCGCGCCGGTAATCGGTCAGATTCAGCAGGCGATGGCCGGCCGGCTGGTTTCCTGACCCGGCCGCGGTCAACAAACATCGATATACCACATCTTGCGTGCCGATCACGGGGAAGTCTGGCCGCAAGAGGATCGGGGGCTCAACACTGCTAGGTGGCTACCATATCGTGTTGAGCGATATGTTTGCCTAGGCCCACGCAATCCGGCTACTCAACTCAATAGCTGCAATAAGGTTTCGCCAGCTCGGTTCAGCAGCACTCTGCCGTTGACCGGCCATATCTGGTGGCGTGACGTAGCCAGGGCTTAAACACGTTCGTGTACTGCCGCTGCAGCAAATGGGACGGGGGAAGAGCCACGGATCACCGTCCCTACCGCATCAGATCTGTGCCGATAACTTCTGTTGCCAGCCACGCAAGGGAGTAGCAAGGATCCTGACCATGCCCCGAGCCGGTATGAGTACCGATTTTCAGGAACGGGGAGCGCCCACGCGTCAGGGCAGTGGTCACAGGCAAATAAGAGGATCCGGTTCTGGCGGAAGGCCTGAGGTCCCGCACCCCCTGCACTGCCGATTGTCCTGGAGACCTCTGCTGGCCCGTGGGGATTCAGGGGTCGCGAGCATTTATGTGTGATTTCAAAACTTATATCTAGTCATTTTATTATCTAAACTAATATCATAATGTAAAAGACGGCAAGGGATTCAAGCCAATAGGACACAGTGAGCGTGTAGTGAGCTAGCAACACCCATCAGGACAGACACGTCTGATGGAAAAGTGCTCTGTCTGGCTCTGTCACCGATAAGCGATTATTGGCAGCTAGGGCCATATAAAACTGATCTAATCTGCCATGCAGATATCATCATTTGGCCGGAAATATTTTGCTCTTGAAGTGAACCGTGGGTTTTTGCTCTGCAACATTTCCTAACCGTCTTTTACTATTCAAGGGAAGTCCGGGCCTATTTAAGTGTGTCGAATTTTACCCATTCGAACTGATTGATTGGTGCCAGGTAGTGATTGAACAGGAAAGTCGGCACACCTTAGAGACATTCTAAGGATATGCCTAATCCTACTTTCAGACCAAATGGCACCACCAGTGGAGAACCCAATTCACAACTGGAAACATCCAAGCTCACAATCATCAAAATATCTGTCTTCTACTCAAACATCAAAACAGAGGCGTTCCTACCAAGAATGTTTGGTTGGTGGACATTGTCTCGGAGCTGTGTACTGTTTGGTCTGATATCACAGAACTGGCATGCAGTGCCAGTGGACAATCAGTCCGGGTGGGGCGTGTAGCGTGTCGTGCCGTGGCCTTTATTTTCACTACACGGCCGTCCGCGGCGGCATCCTTACTGGGAAATCTGCCATCCGGCCGGCCGGGAATGTGAGCCGCGCGCCGCGTCGGGTCCGTCGCTCGGTTCGCCGTACCTACCCCGGCGCGGGCGTGTCTCCGCCGCGCGAACATCGCCCAGCGGCCCTGGGGAGCTGTCCGGCGGCATACCGACCTCCGAGGCGGTCCTGTCGCCCGCGAGCCCTGCGGTTCGGCGGCACGCTGTTGCGGTTCGTCGCTACAGACGGGCGACGACTGACGTCCGAGCTACTGTTCGGACGTCGACTGTTCTGAGGAACCCAGCGGCCCAAAAGAGCGCACGCCGCGACCACGTCTTCCCGGACACGGTGCACGTGCAGCAGAGGACAGAACACGGGGTCGAGGCCACAGCGGTGTGTTCTGTTGGTACACGACGTTGTTCACCACATTGTCCGGCCGGCTGTCTAGTGCCTGCCACACCGTCCTGCAGACTATATGACGACTGTCGACTGGTGGGGGTGTCTCCAAACCTGGAAGCCAGCCGGTCTCTGTCACATTAAACTCTGTCGGACCTGACAGCCTGTCATGACATCTGTCAGGGACCTGTTACCACCGCTGATGTCACTCCACTCGAAGTAGCGTGACGGTTCTGAGGGACTGCGTGATGCCGTTCGGGGGCTGGTGCTAAGCTCGTTAGATGAGCTAGGTGGTCATCTGGTGAGGATGCATTGAAGGAGGTCAGGAGACTCCGCAGGTCAGCAGGAAGCGAGGCTATCAAGGCCATCTATAGAAGGTACAGTCACTCCCCCGCCGACCAATCAGAGACAGATCCTGAGTGACGTCACCCCTGATGCTCGAAAGGGGTACTCCATTCCTTTACAACGTAAAAATGACCAACTTCATTTGAAGATTGTTGGTGACCCTCTACACATATCGCTCAACCATTGATGTCATTGGAAAGTCCAACTAATTTTCTAGCGATAAAAAAGAGCAGCAATATGCTAAGAAATGGCCGGTTTTGAAGATATAGACGATTTAAAAACCCTCTGCAGTTGCAGGAAAGCAGCGTAAAAACGCATCGAGCTTATATTTTTACTATGAATAAATCATTTTTCAGTATGTTTTTAGATATGGTATCGATTTATTAAACAACTTTATTACAATATTTTTATTACTTGGAACTTTATTTCAAAATAATATTTTCAAAAATGGCAACTGTTGGCAAGTAGCTTCGAAGCGATTGTGGCGCGCCGCGCCATCATTGTCCTGAGGCCCCCATATGATGTCATCAAAAGTGGAGTGACATGGGCCTGGAGGCTATCAAGGGTCAGCAGGTCACCGGGGAGGTGCACGCTTGAAAATCGTGGGAAGCATGCGTCAGTGAGCCACACCTCATTGTAAGTTCAGTACAACCGGGCGGGAGTCCATAGAGTCAGTCATGTATAGCTGTAGCTCAGAACTGTCTCAGCTGTTGGATATCCGTCTAACTATATCTCAAAGCTATATCAGCTGTTGGATACCAACTGTAGCTTGGAGCCGTCTCAGCTGTTGGATGTCCGTCTATGTATAGCTCGCTCAGCCTCCTGAGCCTTTGGACGTTCATCGGCCCGCGGGCCGAGCGGTCTCTGTCGACTCTGAGAGACCGCTCGGGCCGAGCGGTCTCTGTCGTGCCATGTGCCGCGTTATGTCACGGTTCACCAGCGACTGGCCCACTTCAGAGCGGGGCGTGGTGTGGAGCACAATTCTAGACCGGCAGGTTGTGTCAGTCACGCAGTCTGCCAGATGTCTACACTACTCCCTGCACCATGACGATGATTAACCATAAAACGTCAGCGGTGAATTGTTAGAATAAATCCATGCACCGTTCGCCATTCATTTGGTCCTACCACCGTCTCAAGCAGTGTTCGCCACGGGCCGGGCCAGCCCAACGGGCCATGGGCCGGGCTGGGCTACGGGCTGGGCCGGGCCCCCAAATATCATTAGTTAACGGGCTATGGACGGGCCGGGCCAAGAGCTTTGTGCACTATGGGTTTTGTGACTAATGTCAATTTAAGAAAATTTGGAAACTGATGCAAACAAAACCCACTGGGAAAATACAAAAACTAAACCAAATTTAAGCAATGTGAAAGAAAACCTACTTGATATTGAATTTTGGGAATCTTGAGAATTATCCAATATCACATCATGTCACACATAGGAGGGTTTTCATAAAAATTCCGCAACCAAAAAGATCAGAGAATCTCTAACATCATTAGTTTGTAATAAAAGTTAAAATGTAGTCATCAGAATAACTTACTTAGCACTACAACTCCAAAAACTAAGAAGCCACTCAACAATGATGGGCTACAGGGCTACATTAAGTTTAACACTTATATATGGCGATAGTGAGACAATTCCAACACAGTCTTTTTTCCTTCACCGACGGCTTTTTAACGAACAGAACCTTAAAAGGATACTCACAAAACACACTGTAAGTAACGAGGAACTCTACAGAGTATTTCGCGATGAAAGCTTCTTTAAATGTCCATAAATTTGTCAAAATAAATCACAACAAACCGGCCCCTCCTCAACAAAACTTGCAATCATGGCGGCGGCGCTATGTTTATGTGGCGGCATCTAGGTAGTATACACAACAGTATATGAAATAAATACGTTTTTTAACTAAGTATCAAGGTGAAAAACAAAATTAAACAAATAAAAAATAAAATCTTAATCACAAAGTCTGAAAACTCGAACGAAAAACAAAACAAAAACTTGATCATATATGTTTTATTATACAATTGGGCAAAATCGCTACCTGCCGCAGCTGCGACAATTAAGAAGTGTTCGCTCATTTTCGATTGATGATGATGATGCGTAAAAGTCGCAAAAGTACCCAATGACATTTCAAGCTTACCATGTTTTCTGCTTACGTTGCTAGCGATATCCATATCTTGAAAAGAGCCTAACATAGAATAGCAAATACATTACTTCACATGGCCTCAACCTGGATCTCCCCACTCTCTTGGGAGATGACCACCCACTTCTCCTCGAAAAACTTTTCGCATTCCTCAAGGACGCGCGACTTCTCCACGAACTTTAACCCCCCGGCCTGGCCTAGTGCCAGAAACTTCCTCCTCTCTGACATTCATCTACGCCGTTTTCTCTCCGCTGCGCCTCGGTTTATTTCTTCGTTGATTGTATGTGCTTGTGATTGATTTTCCATTCTTGCTTAAGGTGACTCCATATTGCACGCTCCGATCAGGTCGATTGGGCCGAGATCGTTGAGCGTCAACACCGACTGGGGGCTTAGCTTTTACTGCCTGGCCTCCGGGTGCCCTTTCCCGCGCGGAGTCACCTCCCTGTCCCTCTTCGTCACCCTCCTACACATTAGCTTAAACGATACAGGTTTTTTTCCCCGCGCTATTTTGGCTTCAGCGCGGGGTTTTTCCCTTTGCAATAGGCGCCGGGTTTTTCAGTTCATAGAACTTTTTCCCTGGCTACTACACCCCACAACCGAACACTGACACCTTGCACAAGTATGACTGTGTGTATGAATGTTAATAAATACATGAACCAATGCTGTGTTTTCGGTTCCAGCACCTTCTTTCGGCACTTCGGCAACAAGTAAGTACTCCCGTTAGCTTTGCCACACCTAAGATAGGCTCCCACGTTGTTATTTGCTCCCGGGTTAACATAAACCGGTTTAACGTAACTTTTGCATCCCGGCCAAAATTGCCGGGTTAACTGTCCCACCGCTCGAGACTGGCACTAGGCTGGCCGAGCAAAAAAAAAAAAAGTAGCAGATAGTTGTCCACAGAGATTCGGTTGACACGTGGGCATGAATTGAAAATAGATAAGATCAGTTTTGCTGATAAATGGATCTCTTTTTTGGAAGACATTGCTAAAGTTAGTGTCACCTATTTTGTATGCTTTCTCAGGCTTTTGATATTGCAGCATCTATGGAGTGAATTTAACAGCAAGGTCAATCCCAGACAGATTCATCAATTCCCATAAGTCAAGCTTTTTTTCTGCTGGTAAGTGCTGGGAAGTATATAGTATGTGGCAAATACTTCCTTCAAGTATGCATTAGAGTCACCAATTATGAATGATAGTTCACACACATCAGCTTGCAAGATAACTTTACTCATAGAATGTAGTTAATATAATCATGTAAACTTTTTATAGGTGTGTAATCATGACCTAATTGACTGAGGTGCTTGCTGTTACTGTTAAAATTTGTGCCATAGGTGCTTGAAATGATTATATTCATTGAAAAGAAGGGAGTCATGATTGCCATGTTAATATTCATGCAATTTTTGAATTGTTCTCAAAATAGTGTAATCAATCATGCTTATTATAGCAATAGACTAAGACAATAACTAGATTGCTATTTTTGACGGGCCGGGCCGGGCTGGGCTTGGAATATTTGCCAAGAGCGGGCTACGGGCTGGGCCGGGCTCTGAACCCATGGGCCCGGGCCGGGCTGGGCTTGGGATTTTGGGGCCCGTGGCGAACACTGGTCTCAAGACTGATGGCGCTGAAACAGCATGAAACGAGCCCCTCAATTCCGTCTGTTGACCTCTGGCCTCGTGCCTCCTGACCCTGGTGACCTGGCGTCTTGTGACCTGCCCTGTAGGCGCCGCTCGGCAGCCAGCCTTCCCGCTAGGTGACCCGGCTAGCGCATCCATCCGTGGACACGTTCACAGCAGCGCACTGCCTCAGACCATGGGTACGGTACGGCGCACCGTTAGCAACCACCACAAGGCTGCTGCAGATACAGACCTAGAGATAGCTGAAATTGGCCCAGAATAGACCTGGGATGTAAAGCATAAGCAGAAGACCACAAAGATGGTAACAGACCCCGCTCGACCGTGTTCCAGATCATGGATTAGACCAGGGGATCAGATTAGACCAGGGACGGATCCGGTCATCTCCCGATCGGACCCTATCAAAGTTACCAAAGACCCCGACAGACCCGCGACGGACGCGCCAGTACAGCTGTGCGTACGATTTGCGCCCTTGGTAGCCTCTTGATTCTAATCTTTTAAGAAAATTAGCGCTTATACCCGAGACATATTGTCGCATATTTCACATCGATAGGCACGTGAACCTGCAAGAACGAGATTAAACACAAGAATCAATAAGTACAGATGCATGGATACAAGTTAAGAAAAAGTGATGGCTGACGAGTATGGTGATTGATGATAT